AAGGACGCCTTCCCACCGCCTCCTGTAACCTTACCTCCAGGGCATCCCCTTCGCCTCTAGGTGAAAGTCATCATGAGAGTGATCTGCCTTCACCTTCCCCTCCAACCACAAAACCAGCAGCAGCTCCTCTAGAAAGCACTTCAAGCAGCTATTAATTGGAACAACCTTTTTATTATAGCATTATTAATACATTTTACCTTGCAGCAGTATCTGCTCCTTGTACCCACCCCAGGATTCAAAAGGCAGCAAAGCTCCCACAGGAATCAGTTTTGCTCAGCCTAAAGCATAGTCTTCAGGTAAACCCCACAGATGTGTGTCTCCAACTCTCCACAGCATCTTCCAGTGGCCATCCAAGTTTCACACAGCATGAACAGCACATGCAGATTCCAGATCTGAGGACTGACCTCATCCCTGGGCCAGGCATCACCATTAAAGTAACAGAGATGGGATCATAAGGACACAAATACTTCTGCTTCCTGCAACCAGACCTCATTTTCAAGTACTTCAAATGCTGATGCTTTAGTTTGAGCGTCAGCTGCTTCTGAAGATGGGGCTGCAGAACTGTGTTCATGTTCACTATGGCTTGAGACTTCCAGATGTCCATACTGGTCTCACCCCCTTACTTTGAAGCTGGGAAATGGAGCTTGGATGGGAAGGACTGGCAAAATATTCAGGCATTGCATGTGCTCTTCAAGCATAAGGAAACTCACCCAAATGTACCTCTGAAACAACAGGATTTTGCATGAACTGGCGAGACTAAATGTAATAGCACCTCAAGGAGCCTCTGCCCTTGCTCAGAGCAAAAAGCACGCGCTCTGATGGGGTACCACGATGTTTGCTGAAATGGCTGCTCTGGCCAGAAGATGAGGGGCAGGTTCTGGTACGTGGAGGACCCGTCTTCACTGCCAGCATTTGGCTGATACGAAAACCAGACAGAGACAGGAACCACTGCAGGAGAAGGCAGGAAAGGGAACTCCAGGTCTCCCGGTCAACAACAGGTAAGGAGAACAACACTCAAGAGAAGGAGCTCTACAGGGAAAACAAAGGGTGGGAGGAGGAGTAGGCTAATGAGCATAAACCCCACAGACATTAGCGACAGGGGAAGGTGGAGATGCGAAGGGCACCCGATCTGTACCTTTTACAACATGTAAGATGGAATGTGAGACCAAATTTTGTTATTAATTTGCCAGGAAACAGCTGCAAAACCCACCAGGAATGTGCTTCAAGCCAATCTAGTGCTTTTTTTGCTGTCTACTTTAACACTGTTACTGAATAGTATTACACAACACTGGCGTCTTGCTTTAAGGTGATTTTCCCAACATTTAGAATACTGTGGTTTTAAGGAATATCTTCCTCTTGATCTTCTAAACTGAAAATACCAGAAGGAAATCTGCTGCTCTCTTGAAGTCAGAGGGAAGTTTGCTTGCATAAGGAGAACTGGTTAGGACTCTTGACATTGTTTCACAGCTTGTACAAAGTTCTCCAATATATTAGAGCTCATCTTTTTCATTATTCTTCTTCAGGAAAGAAGCGAGGATATTGAGGCTTTTCTGGAGTTCCTCCTTCTTCCCATCGCTCATTTTGTTCTTCTCGATCAGTTTTGTGATTCGGACCACTTCATTAGCAGCAAACTCTTCTCCCTGCTCCAGTATCTTGCTCATGATTTTCAAGTATTGCTCAGCTGACTTCTTCTCAGTTTCTTTTGCCTTTTCTAAGCTCTCCTGCCCCTTTTTCAGGAGGGACTGGCGCTCTGATTTCTCAGTGGTGCTCACAAACTTGCTGGCCAGCATATCATACTCTTTCAGGCAGCCTGGCATCCCCAGGTAGATGCCATTACTCTTCAGCCAGCGCTGAATAGCCCCAGCCTTGATTTGGCCACTGTAAGGTAAGGGATTGTCAAAGTCACCATCCTGGAACAAGTGAAAAATAGGGAACTTCTCCTTATCCAGCTTGTACTTTTCTCCCAGCTCAGTGTTCAGTTTATCACCATAATCTGTCGAGGGAAAAGGAAACACAGAAAAGCAGAGTGCGTTAATCAAAAGGAAAAGTTAATTTAGGATTCTCTCCCACACAGATAAATATTTGTCTCCAGTTTCAACATGTCCTAATGACCTTTTTGCCAGGAAATGCCACACACTGAAACAAAATCACTTCTGCAAGGCAAACCATCAATAGGTTTTCCAAATACAAGATTCTAACAGTGCTTTGCTGTGACTGCGGTAGCATAAGACATCAGCAGGACCTCTGTGTACAAACCCCATCCTCCTTATGGGGAATTAATAGCCATTTCTTAACTTGTATTGCTCTATCCATTGATATTATTTGATTTTACTCTTAAATGGATTTTTTTCCTGATCTGTGTGCAGAGAGCATACACTTACACATTTTCGTTCTGACAGCATGCCAAGCTACAAGATGTTTGCTCATGTAACATAAATTACATTTATTTTTGAGGACAGAAAACATAAGAAATTTCAACTCTGCTACTTAGCTAAATCCACGTGTGTTTAGAAATGTCAGTGGGTGTGGGTGAAACTTCCAGTCTGACAGTTCCTATAAGCTTAAATTCTTCATTCTCTCTACAAAGCAAGAGTGAGAAAGCTGATAGTGATCCACTCCTCACTCCTTTTCTCTCAAAGCCAATTGCAAGAACATCAAGTTACACTAGCCACAGTGCAACGAGCACCCTCTGTGCTTCGTCAGCAATAAAGGGATGAATTAATCAGATTACATACGCTTTGCTTGACCAGGCTTGTGGCTAAAGCATGATTCTTGCAAAGTCTCTTCCCTGGAAATAGACAGAAAGGTTTCTCCCAGCAAAGACAAAATCACAAAGGCAGGAAGTGCTGGGAATGAGGAGGATGGCATCCAGTTTAGCGGCGTGGGCTGACTTGCTCCATTAAGCAGCCGGAAGATCAGCAGCACCCCCACACTGGTAGCAGGAGGCAGAGCTCAGCCACCAGGCAGAGCAGGGGCCGGGCCCCTCTCGTTTCACACTGTCAGAATCACCTCAGAGCCTGTTTCCACCAGAAATCACAGTGTTCTTTCCCCCACACCAACCCACACTGTGCTAATCAGCCCAGAGTTCCTCACCTGATATTCCCACCTCAGCCACCAGAAGATCCCCACTGGAGCCTGAGCTCTCTGCCAGCTTTTTAAACTCATCCTGTTTCTCGCCATAAGGATATTGAGTATCGAACTTCACAAGGACAAACTTGTGCTTTGGAATTACCTAAAGAAAAGAAAAGCACAAAACTTTAGCATTTTGGGTTGGAGCAATCTACAAAGCACCTAAAGCTGCTTTCACTTGTCCTCCTGTGCAATGAGGAGGTGCAGGGGGAGAATGGAAATTTTCTAATTATGGCATTCCAAAACTGACTCACTGCAGTGTGGAGGAAAGACTGAGCTTCGGCTGTATGTGCTCCTGTACCAGATGACAAAGATGGTGCGTGGTAGGTTTGGGGGATCTGATAATGCCTTTAATTACACATGATTTGCTTACTGTAAAGCTGATTAGCATCTTGGAGGGAAGTCGGCTCAACAGTTTCCAGGGGGACATTACGTGCAGGGAGAGGCTGAACCCAAAGGCATTCCGAGGCGTCCCAGCACGAGAGCTGCAGCTCTTGGGGGGCACAGGGATGGTGCGGAGGTGCTGCACTGGTTCCATCAACAGAGAATTCCTCTCTTAACTGATTCCTCTTCACTTATGCTGTTGCTTTTGAATTCTGCTCTGCCCGGATGATGCCCTTTCAAATGAGCTCAAAATGGAATCTGTCGCCTGCTTTGGGATGGTTTTTTTGTCCTGCCTTGCAAAATCTTTTGTCTAGTAAACAGGGTCCGATTGCAACATGGTCCCCACCTACAAAGCATGCTATGAGCAGCTGGTTGCAACAGTGAACAGGATCCGTCAGTCCTGGGCCTGCTGCTCCCTGTATTTACCATCCTGGTAAGGGGTGAACGTGGCAGGTATCACACTTCGATATTTCTGCTGGTCTTTCCAGGTCCCTCTTGCAGTGTTCTGCCAATCACTTCAGATTGTTCTTGTTGCAGAGAGGCTGGAAGCTCCTAAAGGTTCATGCATCATATCATAGAATGGTTTGGGTTGGAAGGGGCCTTAAAGCTCATCTTCCTGCACAGGGAAGAACTTCTTCCTAATGTCTAATCTCAATCTCCCCTCTGGCAGGTTAAAGCCATTCCCCTTGTCCTGTCTCTACATCCCTTGTCCAAAGCCCCTCTCCAGATTTCTTGTAGCCCCTTTAGGCACTGGAGCTGCTCCCCAGAGCCTTCTCACCTCCAGACTGAACCAGCCCAGCTCTCTCAGCCTGTCTCCAGGGCAGAGCTGCTCCAGCCCTTGGAGCATCTTCGTGGCCTCCTCTAGACTCACTCACATGTGGCAAGACATACTTGCTTGTGCCCCAGCAGTGTGCTTTGGGCAGGTACTTGTCAAACCGCCACACGCGGCCTCTTCATCTCTCCTGGTGCAGCACATGCTGTAACGCCACCACACCAGAACTCCTGGTCTCAGGCGTCTGCCTCATGGCGGGCCTGTGACACTGTAGATCAAAATCGCGCTGTGCTCCGGGAAGATCCCTTCATTTCAGAGCGATTTAGTGCACAAAACCCTGCCAGGCTCCAGTGTGGCTGCAGCCTGTTGCTTTCTGTTTCATGAACAAACAAGAAGTGAAACTGGCCCAGGCAACGAGTGCTCACGC